TTGAAACATGAAACTTATCACATCTCTAAATAGCATCTGCCTTTTGAGAGGCAAGTTATGATGATCATAAGGTGACAGTGGAAGATAGGCAGAGGACACCCAGCAGCAGTGACATCCCCTCGACCAGAGCAGGTCTGTATTCTCAGTCATTTCCCAACACACGGACAAAGGAGATACAAAGAGCCACCCTATCCACTACTCTCTACTAAAAGGGTACAGAAAGAGCAGTGTATCTCTACTTTCTAAAGCAGAGCACAGCACCTGGGACTGCTGATCTTGTAGAAAACAATCAGGAAGCTGGATAAACACAGCCTGATGCCTCTGGTATCCCAAACAGCTTCTCTGTGTGGTAGAACCAAGGTAATAATAGTATGCTGTGGTATGTGTGACATCTTTATAAACAGTAGGCCAAGTTTTATTTAGAGTCAAAGTTGCCTAGAATCTTGTAGCATCATAACCTTTAAATAAATTACAATAGCTAGACCCCATGGAGGCGGTTCTTGATCTTAAGTGGTTTCTTTTGCCTGCATTAAGGGTTTAAAACAATTCAACTTCCTGGAAAAGAATTCATAAAAACAAGCCAACAGAAGTACAAGGACAATGGAAAGGATTATCACCATCACTATCCCTAGCAATAGAAGTCACTACCATTTGAGGTCCTCGTATGCAAGACTTTTAGTACATCAAAATTATTTCCATCCCAGGAAGACTCCCCAAGCGTTCCCACACTGCCAAATGAGAAACCTGAGACTTGCAGAGGCTGAGCAAGTAGCTCGAGGTTAGGACACAAATAGAAAGTGGCAGAACCAAGATTCATACCAATACCCAGTACCTCAAAAGTTCATTTTCTTCTGCTCTTCTTCTTAGGAAAATAATGGGAATTTCTTTAAAATAACTGATTAAACATTAAACTGAAGCAATGATGTAACATTGTAAAATATGTCAACTAAAAAAAATTTTAAATAACATACAATGTTGACCAGGGAGGATATGGTGAGGCCAGAACTCTGTCATGTTCTCAATCATGGCATTAACAGATATGAAGCTCCTCAAAAGAATTTGATTATCTGAGTGAAGTGACAATAAATGTACATGTGTTCTATTCACTTATACTACTTTTAAGAATTTGTCATAAAAAACTTCCCCAAACTTTGAAAATGCTAATTATGAAGATATTTATCATAGAATCACTTATGAATATAATACAGAAGTGCACCAAAAATTCAAGATGTGTGGTTAAATGTTACTGCATGTGCTAGATAGGACCATTATTAAAAATGATCAATATGTTAAATAAAATAAAAGATATAAAGATATTTGAATTTTATTTAAAATCATAAATTTAAAAAACTAAAGGGAAGATGAGGCAGGAAGATCCTGAGTTTGGGTCCCACCTGGGCAACGTAGTGACTTAGCAAGTCTGTCTCAAAATAAAGAGCAGGGAACACAGCTTCATGCAAAGATCCTACGGGGCAAAAGCCACCACCACTGCCAAAAACAAAAACAAAGAGGCCCTAAAGTGTGATCTCAAAACCTCTATGTGCTGAACTTTCTGCAATTTGGTAAAATGCTATTAAAATTAAAGAATATGAAATTGGCCAACTATAACCTTCACCACTGTTTGCTCCTTAAAAAATAAAATGACCTCAATGCCATAGTATAATGATTTCAAATTTAATGCTCAAAGGAAAATGTTTGTACATAGAAGCAATATCTTTTTTGTCATCTAAAATATGCCTGTTTTTTCAGCAAATTATAAATAAAAAGAAATTCAAGATGTATTCTGCAGTCACAGAATAGCATAGTGCAGGAAAAACAGAACAATTTCAATTACACAAAATTGAAGGCTCAGAGATGCACCAAAGTCACTGGCTACTTGGATGTCATTCTTAGCATCAAAGTTGTCCCTCCAAAAGCCTCCTTAAAGTGACATTTTTCTCACTAGGCTCATCATAATACCATTCAGTCTTAAACCATGATAATAACTAACCACCTAGTCAGGAAACTGGAAGAGTCATGTTTACGATTTTTAGGAAAATATAGGACCATGGCATAGAATCTAAATTAATCTACAATGGTGATTCCTTAAAATATGTCCTTTTCTGTTGCAAAAATAGAATACCAATTAAAATGTTAAAAAGTTGGTGATTAATTGGAGACAGGCATTCTAGAATTCTGTCATATACACTATTTCTACTTTATGTTTAAAGTTTTTCTCAAATTCATGCTGATTTGTACTTTCCATTTCTTTTCTCACTTAATCAGGAGTTAATCTACCATTCTGATTAATCTTACTGTTGAGATTCACTGAAATAAGAAAGTATGTCAGTGGAACAATCTAACAAGGGAAACTGTCTAATGCTACAGCTTTTCTCTGTAGTAGAAAAAGGAGATATATTGAGGATTATTATTTGTTATGCCTGTCACAGTTCACATGATCATAGACTTGGACATGAATTAAGATTATCTTTCCAAACTTTATATTTAGTATAGATTAAAATGGATATAATAGATTCATTTAACAAGTCACTTTATTACTAGAATCAAAAACAACTGCCAAAGTACAGAAAAGTTACTACAAGAAAACAGGCCTTAATAAAGACATGTTCAGAACTTATTTTGAAAACTATAAAACACTGTTGAAAGAAATTAAAGATCTAACTAAATGTGAAGAAATCCTATACTTAAGGCTTAGAACACTTAACAATGTTAAGATGGCAATAGTCCATAGATCTATATACAGATTTAGTATAATCCCTATCAAATTTACAGCTGATTTCTTTATAGAAATTGACAAGCTGATTCTAAAATTCATGGGAATTCAGGAGACCCAGAAGAACCAAAAGGATCTTGAAAAAGAACCATTTTAGATGACTCAAATATTATGATTTCAAAACTTACTACATCAAATAATCACAACATTATGTAGTTGGCAAAGATAGACATACAAATCAATAGAATATAACTTAGGATCCAGAAATACCTCTTCATACTTATGGTTAATTATTTTTTAACCAAGGTGCCAAGACATTCTAAATAGGGAAAATGTTTTTATAACAACTGGATATCCACGTGGAAAAGAATTATTCTAGACCCCCTACTCCACACCTTATAAAACTTAACTTGAAATTAAACAAAAACCTACATTTAGTGTTAAAACTGTACAAGTCTTAGCAGAAAAGAGGCATAAGTCTTCATGGCCTTGGATTAGACAATGTTTTCTGAGATATTTCACCAAAAGAAAAAGAAACTAAAGAAAACTGGATTTGACCAAAATTAACAACATTTATCCTTCAGAACATACTACCAAGAAAGTTACACACACACACACACACACACGCACACACAATGGGAGAAAAAAATCCACACAACCTTTCTGATAATAAGGGTCTAATATCTGGAATAAAGAACTCCTACAATTCAACAGGATAATAATCCGATTTTTAAAATGGGCAAAGGATTTGAATAGACATTTCTTCAAAGAAGATATTAAAATGTCCAATAAACACACGGAAAAAATGCTCAACATTATGAGCACAGAAGGAAATGCAAACTGAAAACACAATCAAATACCATTTCATAATCAGTAGTCTGGCAATAACCAAAAAGATAAACAAAAGCAAGTGTCAGCAAAAATGTGGAGAAAGTGGATCCCTTATACACTGCTGGTGGTACAGAAAATGGTGCAGGCTCTCTGTAAAACAGTCTGGAAGTTTCTCAAACTTAGATACAGAGACAGACTTACCATATGATCCAGCTTTCCGATAATGAGTAACTGGTTTTCCAACATAAAGTTTTGCTCTGCAATATGAGCTACCTTTTTTCCTCCTAAATATTAGGTTGTGCTAGAAATGTAAATCAAAAGGAAAAAAAAAAAAACAAACAGGTGCCAAGGATTTGGCTCAGTGGTTCTGCCACCCGCCTCGCAAGTGCAAGGTCCAGAGTTCAATCCCTGGTACCCCCAAAAAATAAATAAATATAAATAAATAAATAAATAAATAAATAAATAAATAAATAATCTACACAGAAAAGCTTCTGTTTTTTAAACTTCGCTTGAATAATCATATATATTCGAACTCAGGCTATTGGGGATCTTTATAATTTAAATCATTCTACATGGTGGAGTTTTCTCTAGCTTTCAGAACTTATGAAAGATTAACAATTGTCATATAATTCCTTCACATCTCCTTGCCTTTCTAAGCTGAGGAAAATGAATACATTTGGTAAGGCAAAGATACTAATTATTCCCTGAATGAAGGCTACCCCTCTGTTTTCTTTACATACAATACTCAAAAGCTTGTACTCCTGCTCAGTTTTCCCTCCCTAGGTTACATCTGTCATTCAAGATCTCTCTCAGAAGAACAGAAATCACTGAGCTTTGCTTCTCTAGAAATCACTGAGATTTTGATTCCTGTTCATTTGTGCAATTCTTTGACTATCCTGTAAGTATCCTTGTCCGGAAGACAAGGCCTTTGCTCATTTTGGTCTCACAACTACATCCCTGACGTCTGATAGGGTCACAGAACATCAATATGAGGCAATCATATCTTTCTCTCTTCTGACTTACTGTCCTAATATTTGGATTTCGAATCCACAGAACTATTTTATAAGTGCACATAAAATAATAGAATGTAGGTAGTAGCCAAGGAATCCCATCAACTACATATAACACAGGATTTGTTATGAATACATCATGAGAACTGTATGGCTTCTCAAGAGGCAAAAGATTTTAATTCTCATTTGTGGTTCAAACAGCTGAAGCTTCATACCATCTTAGAAAAGGAGTAAGTATGTCCAAGAGTGAAGAAAGAGAACAGAAAAATCTAAGCTCTTGAGCAGTTATTAATGCTATGCTGGTACATGTCCTAACAGTCATTCACATCTCAAACCTAAAATCTACTTGCCAGAATACCAGAGAAAAGTCAAATCTAAGTACTTTTGATGACATGACATTGCAAAGGATTCTTTTTTCTTCATCCACATTTAAAGCGGCCACTCACCTGCATTAAAAGGTGTGAACAGATTTTTCCTTGAAGGACCTAAAATGAGAAAGAAAAAAAATTTATTATATATATGACACATTTACATTTTGTTGGAAATATCACACACAAAAAAATTTTGATACATAGGCTTTATTTTTAAATACATGGCTTTATATTTTAAAACAATCCAAAAATCCTCTAAATGTTAGGTTCCAGGTAGGAAATTTTTAAGTATACAATGATATTCCAAATGTCACCTAAATATTGAGTGATATGAATTTATCATCAAAAGTTAAATATGATCAGTTTTAATGGGTATGCCACAATATTTTTTTCAGGCAAAACCAAGTTAAAGTTCATTTTTGGTTTCTTGGTTTTTTTGGGTTTTTTGGTTTTTGTTTTTGTTTTTTGAGACAAGGTCTCACTATGTAGTTGAGACTGACCTGGAACTCACTATGTAGCAGGCTGGTCTTGGGTTTTTTGGTTTTTGTTTTTGTTTTTTGAGACAAGGTCTCACTATGTAGTTGAGACTGACCTGGAACTCACTATGTAGCCCAGGCTGGTCTCGAACTCACAGCGATCCTCCTGCCTCAGCCTCCCGAGTGCTGGGATTACAGGCGTGCACCACCACACCTGGCTTTAAAGTTCATTTTTCAACAGTAGTGAATTCACACAATTATGACCAAACACATTATTCTACTGCTGATAGCAGGGAAGGGGTCAGACTTTATGAAAGACATTCACTAGTATGCACTTTCTGAAAGTGCCAATTTCTATTCAACCATGAAGAAAAATATACTTTTTCTCCAAACTAATAAAAATACAACCAGGAGTGACAAAAGGCACTAAGCTCTACATCACTAAAAGAAAACTATGAGTGACATCACACAGTTATAACCCATAAGCCTCTGCAGACTACTAGTTCAAACTAGCTGTCATTTTCTGTGGGATTTTACAGTGATAGTAAGCTCTCAAAATATGTGGTCATCACCATTATAAATGGAGAGCACTGTTTCTCACTGAAATAAAACCTTTGTGATAAAAATCTTACAAATTCAATTATGAGGCCATTTGAGAATACTGGAGTTTCTTGTTCTACAAAATTATCAGTGGGATCTATTTTGTTCTGTTTTTTGTTTTGTTTGAGACAGGGTCTCACTATTTAGTTGAGACTGACCTGGAACTCAATATGTAGTCCAGGCTGATCTCAAACTCACAGCGATCCTCCTGCCTCAGCCTCCCAAGTGCTAGGATTACAGACGTGCGCCCGGTTTTTATCAATGGGATCTCTAAATTTTCCTTCTCTGAAAATTACAACAGTATCAAAGTTTGAATGCATATTTTCAGTTACTATTATACGGAGCATGGGGTTTTATGATCATGAATAAAAACCCCAGCTGCATGGCATGATATCATCCCAACAAGGTATCACTTGATACCTCAGAGCCTGAACAAATAACCTCCGACACAAGAAGAATCTTTTCCAATAGTTATGCCTATTTTTGCTTCACTTCAGTAGAAAGAAAAAGTGTGCTGATTGATATACATCAACTAAGTCAATAACCTCAAGTTACTACATGATCCTTTACACACACAGACATGCAAATGTTAAGGAGAACGCTGAGCAACATATATTCTCATATTGCTGTGAGAGTAACACCTTTTTAGAAAGTGACTTGGCAATATATGCTAACAATTTCAAAGAGGTTCATACAGGTGAACCTAGAATGTCCCATGGAGGCAATTAGAATCTGAAACAATGATCACATTAAAGATCTTTATCTCAGTATTATGCACCACAATGAAAATCAGAAATTGTCCAACATAAACAAAACTGGACAACTACAGAATTGGAAAATGTCCATGTAAAGTGAAGAAGCTTTCATGATACACTATAATTAACTAAAAAGCAAGATACTGAATAGTATACACACTATGATGCTGATTTTTGTTAAACAAAAACAGAACCATATTTATATGGAGAGGGAGAAAAGCTAGAAGAAAATGCAATATTAATTGCTGGTTGATAGAATTAAGGAAGACTTGTGTGTTTCTGTTTTCCAAATTCTCTAATATAAATATGAGTCATACCGCATAAGTTGATTTCCTCATTCACAATTATTCTCTCAGTGAATCAATCTTTCAATTTACTATAAACACAGAAAACTTCTGATGTACCTCAGACCCACAGAGTTAATGTTGCATGAAAATTATATACCACGTTTTATAAACTGGTAAATTATTCTTAGTAGTCACAGCAATTAGAAAGTGAGCAACACAGGAAGGATTAAAGAGCAGAAAAAAACATGGCTTTGGATCAAAGACATGAAAGTAAAACATTGATACAGATGGGAAGTAAAACATGCATGTTTAACTCCTTTCTATCTCAGTACTCTAGAGAACTGTAATAATTTAAAAGTTTTATTTGTTATTTTTCACCTGATACTCTTGTTCCACCTAATGATTTATATATATAAAACCAATTTATCCATAGAGCCTAAATACTCTCAGAACAAAAACAATTCCCTTGGTGTAAAATTGTATTATATCTCCTTACTCAACAGAACTTTTTAAATTGCTAACTGTACTATAAACTTAATTGTCAAAATTTAACTTTTTAAAAGCCAACTAAAAGTCTTGTTCTCTGCCTTGCAAGCCCAAGGGCCTGAGTTCAATCCCCGGTACCAAAAACAAAGTCTTGTTCTCCTTCCAGCCACAATGAGGACCATACCTTTTGTAGGAGTTTTTAGCAAGTGTACGTGAGTTCTGGGTACCAAAGTCTTCAAACTTAAGGGTCCTGAGCCATTCTGAAATGCTGGTTTTGGGGGCTTCTCCTCATACTTGATGGCAGTAGAATTACCAGCTGTAACAAAACAGAAAAGTACATTTTGTTTCATAAGTATAGTATTAACCATCCATACTCATTCCTTCTTCCTTGAATCAACAAATGATTGCTAAATACCTACAATATGCCAAACATTACTGGGTATTGGAAATACAAAGGTAGGTTGTGTCTTTAGGGGTGCAAAGTAAATGCCATACCAGCATAACCATACTTCTGGTTTGTCTAGCATGATCCAAGTTTATGCACAATGTCCAATTCAGCTTTTACCCCAGATAAAAGTTGGAAGATGAGTTATATAGCCATCAATGCCAGGTAACAAGCATGTGCAAGGTGCAGATAGGAGGGGTAGGAGCAGAATCCCATCTCCACGAGGCAGCCAGCAACACTAATGCAAGAGCAACAACAGACAAACTCCCAAGTGGCTACAAGGATGAAATCTAGGCCTGGTCCTTGTCTGCTGCAAGAAGAAACTGGAACACTTTACAGATCTAGAAAAAACAATCCTAAAATTCATAGGGAATCAGAAAAGACCCAGAGTAGAAAAAAGAATTTTGGGCAGTAGGAGCAAAGCAGGTAGCATAGTGATATCTGACTTCAAGCTATAATACAAAGCACTAGTGATACAAACGGCATGGTAGTAGGACAAAAACAGATACATTGATCAATGGAACAGAACTGAGGACAGAGAGGCCTCCCCAGACATATTTAACTATATTATGTTTTATAAAGGGGCCAAAAGCATATGTTGGCAGAAGGAGAGGCTATTCAACAAGTCAGGGTGGGAAAACTCATTATCTGTTTGCAGAAAAATGAAACTGAACTCTTATCTCTCACAATATACTAAATTAAAAATCTAAACATTAAAACACAAACATTAAACCTTCTGGAAAATAAAGTAAGTAAAATATTTGAAGACATAGTTGTGGTGTAGGAAAAGATTTCCTAAACAGAACCCCAGTCCCACAAGAAATAGCAGAAAAAATCAACAAATGGGATTATATCAGACTAAAAAGCTTCTGTACAGTGAAAGCATCAATCAGTAGTGTGCAAAGATAGCCTATAAAATGGGGAAAAAATTCTAGCTACTCCTTATACAGAGGACTAACAAAAAAAAATTAACTCAACTCAAAAAAATTAAACCACCTAAAATTAAAGACCTAGTTAAGAGATGGGCAATAGAAATGAACAGACACTTCACAGAGGAAGAAATACAAATAGTCAACAAATATATAAAAAACATGTTTAACATCTCTGGCCATTAGAGAAGTACAAGCTAAAAACAATGCTAAGATTCCATCTCACTCTGAAGAAAAGGAAATCAAACAATAACAAATGTTGATGCACCTGTGGTGAAAAAAGGAACCCTCTGGTGTTGTTGGTGGGAATGTAACCTTGCATAATCATCGTGGAAATCAGCATAGAGATTTCTGAAAAGCCTGAAATTAGAAATTCCATAGGACCCAGCTAACCTCCTGCTAGGTATCTTCCCCAAAGAGCTTCAGACATCATACTGCAGTGACACTTGCACACCAACATTTACAGCAGCACAACCTGTAATAGCTAAATCCAGGAAGCAGCCCATACACCCATCAACATATGACCGGATAAAGAAAATGTGATATCTCTATATAATGGAACACTACTCAGCTATAAAGAATGAGACATGTGTAGATATGTGTAGGAAAATGGATACACCTGAAAATATAATGTTGAGTGAAATAAACCAGACACACAAGCTTAAATACCATATGGTCTCTCTCATTTGAGTGAAGCAAGGTACAAACAAAGAAAATAAGAAATGGATAGAAAGGGACAAACGGATGGATCTCTTGCCTCAGAGAAGGGCTCCGAAGGAACAAGTACAAGAGGTGAGGAGGAAGAAATGGGAAAATAAGAATAAAGATGTTCCATTGTACAGGAACCTAATAAACCCTAATTAGACACTAACACCATAACATAACTAAGACAAATTATATCAACAAGCATGAAAAAGGGCATAGGAGAATCAGGAGAGGGAGAAGGAAAAGGAGATTAGAAAAAAAAAAAGAAACAAGTTGTAGAATGTACAGGTAACCACTCCCAAAATGATTAGAAACTGCATGAATTACAAATATGTACTAATAAAATAGAAAAGAAGTTAGATGCCAACATCTGCCCTGTTACTACAGTGCCCAGCCATAAAGAAAAACATAAAGCAATTCTCACTTAAACCAGGAAAATTATCTTTTATATTACAAGGTAAAAATTTCCCCTTTAGCAACTAGATTTTAAAAATTGCCTCTCAATAATCTTCAATGCCTAATCTTCTGTGCCCAGGTTTGTTCCACACTCACAATCATAAATTTTATTTGTTATCAACTTTGAACCATTTCTTTATCTCATACTTCTAGAAAACAACAAGGAATCCACTTTGCTTACAAACACATTATAAATGTGCAGGATATTCACTAGGTTAAATAATCCCATCCCCTACCACAGTTCTCAGAGATGTCACATTACTCTCCCTGGTTCCTATCCAGGTCCTGTACAATGAGCCATCTGTTAATTCTTCTGGTACCCACATAACACTTCTATTATTAGGTCAAATCAACACAGATCCTCCCCTCCTGCTGATGAAGTTCTATCAATTTCCTGTCCACTCCAATTCTCACCTCCAGAATCAAGAAACTTGTTTTTTCCAAAGGAGGGCAGAAAGCTAGTGGAAATGACGGTATTAAAGACACAAATAATATAAAATTCAATATAACTTTTACTCCTCTCCCTTGTTCCTGCAGCAAAGGAAGTTGAACCTAGCCTAGATAGGGCCTCACCCAAGCTAGGCAAGTACTCGAACGCTGAGCTGTATCCCCAACCCTTCATCAGAACTTTTTTTGAGGGAAAGGATAGCAGGGATTGAACCCAGGACCTTTCCATGAAGCTACATCCCAGTCCTTCTTTATTTTTTTATTTTGAGACAAAGTTTCATTAGGTTGTCCAGGTTAGGCTTGAACCTGTGATTCTCTTGCCTCAGTCTCTCTTCTGCTCTGGGATTACAGCCAGGTGCCAGTATGCCTGGCTCATCATAACTTTCTAAAGGATGAACAGGTAAAGACTTTGGTCTTAAAATGACAGAACCAAAATTCCATAGAACATATTTTTCAGATTTTCACACAAAATGCACATCAAGTCTCAATGAGAATTTTGGTTTTTGCAGGATGAAACCTCAATAAAGGAAGTAAAAATGTTATTATAGAGTCTTAAACATGTTTTATAACAATAGGGATTTCAATTGCTTCTTGGCCTTTTGGCTAAGATCAAGTATAGGAACAACAGGGATTTCAGTCTTGCTCTTTTCAAGGCAATTTTTGTCATATTCAGCAGTAAATAGGTCAAGTCACTTATCAAGACTTTGAAAAGTTAAATTTCGTTCAACTTATAAACCTAACATACAACTGAATGGTTCTAAATGCATGCTTTTCTTTCTAAATTTTAGACACAGAGACCTCCAGTTTATAAGGAATTCACTGAAGCGATTTCTCACAAGAAGAGACACTGCCCGCTGGCTCTGTCACACACAGAACAGTAGGCGCTGTCCTAGAAATAAACTGTCTCTTGGCTGCTCTACAGGCAGGCTCAGGAGAACAAAGATTAGCACCAGACTGAACAACTCCAGAGCACACAAGATCCAAAATCTGTATTTAACTGTTAAAATGCCAGCATTTGGCTCAGACACAAACACATACATACTTACATTTTATATATATTTATGAAACTACGTATACTCATAACAAAATTCACACCCTGATTATCTATTGTACAAGTATCCCACCTTACTAATAATGGCGGGCATAAATTGTGCTACGCTGATCAAAAACCTTTCTCTCAACTCTCGAAATACTCTCAGCTGGCCCACTGCTTTTTAGCAAACCCGAACTTGAAGGACGTATATTATGATGAGGTATATGGTGTACCCTAACATGGCAATGGGTCTGGTATCCTGAAATCTAAATCTTTCCTCATCCAGTGTTATTGTGCTCAGACAATAAACTCCTCAGTTAATTCCTTAGTTAATTCTAATAAAATAAGCGAAGCCTAACAGCTTCAAGCAATGGAATGGGATCTAAGATATCCAGATCCTGGCCATGGGTAATGGACTGCATCACTTCACTGTTCTATGTACAAAAGGTAAGCATGGAGACCACCTGTGGAAACAGGTGATACCTACATTGACACAAAGGCTCCACCAACCAACTATGGTACTCAGTCCCCTGAGGCCAGATGTATCCTAAAAATCATCCTGATGCCACGCTCCTGTGGCCACAACCACTCAATGACAATTCGGTCTACAGAGTCAATATGTGAAATTTCATAGGTGGTCACTTAGGTCTCAAGTTTTAAAATGTAGTTAAAAATATTCCTTTTTGTGCTGTCATCTTTAATCCTTACTATCTCAGTTACACTAGAATAACAAATTCTCTGGAATCTTTATTTTCACGTATTCCTCCAGTCCAAAATGTGTTCAAGTGAAGAGAAAGAGAGATGATAGAATATGAAAATAAAAATACAGTCTCAGAAAAATTCTAAGCATTAAGAAATAATTTTCCCATTAGAAAGGGGCTTCTTGCTGTCTTAGACTTTTATTTATAAACTAGTATCTCATAGTACATTCTACCATCTCATTGGAATTTGTTTTTGTTTTGTATATTAAATTATGTACATATACAAAGAGCCAACATTCTGTTCATTTCTTGACTGTTCTGTGAATCAGTTTAACACTCCCTATTATGCCAGATCATCTGCCCACTTGGCTTAAAATCAAATCACTACTGAGTAAGTTTTCACATTTCCAAAGCAAACTTACTCAACATTGTAATAACAAGACTGTCTCATTGTACTCTAAAAAACATTAAAAGTGAATGAATGGGAACAAATTAATAGTGTACTGCATAATATCTCCCTATCACATAGTCCATTCAGAAGTGTGTAAGTGCTAACATGTCTTGTAATGTGGAGCCCGCAGTCTGTACTGCCCGCCCCTTATGTCTTCCTCACCTAGGACAGACATCACTAGTCAAATCAAAACTCGACCTGAACCTGGAAGCACTCCGAAGGTGCTTCTTATTAACTGATCATGGCTGGCAGGAAAGACCATATTTCCATTCCTGCCACGAATAAAACAAAAACAAAAACAAAAACAAAAACAAAACTGAGGGTGAGACTCATCCTTCTTTCTAACAGCTTAACCACCTGAAAAACTCAAAATATTCTCCTCTGTAATTATAAAGCATCATCTTATTACAGTGAAGAAAATTATAAAGTCAGAAACATTTCTTGCTGTAAGGCTCTTGAGGATGATCCAGTCCTCTCCTTTCATTCATCAGATGAGAAGATAGGCTAAAAGAAGCAAATGATTGTCCAACTTCACATGATAAGTGGGAGGCGAGCTGATACTCTTACTCTTCTCAGTGTATCACCCCATCTCAGCCAGGACTAAGCACAAATGTGAAGGAAAAGAACACTTTACTTCTTTATTTAGTCTCCTTCCAATCTCTTATCTCCAAGGATGTGTGAACAGATTTGTTTTGCATCTCTTACACTGCCTCACACCATCTGCCTCTCAAAAGTAAACATGTTTTTGTGGGCAAAGGGCAAAAATAAAGAAATCTCTGGATTTTATATTCCTGCTAATGTTGCAAAATTATCCACTCTCTTTAAGATTTCTTTCTAAATTGCACAATGACCTATAAACCATCCTGTTCAATTTAGGATGTATCATTTTTCTTTATCCAATTACTTTAATAACCTGAAAAACTAGGCATTTAGGTATTTGAGTTGAAAGAGCTTATAATATTGAACTACTATAAATGAGCACATTTGCTACAAGAAACACTGTGCAATGTTTTATACTAATATCCAAAGGAAATTATCCTAGCTTTGAAATGTACTATGCCTAAAAGAACACACATACAAAGAACTGTTAAAACTCCCAAATAAAAAATCTTATTACCTTCATTCAATCATTTTACCACTTTATTTCAATAGTATCCCGTAGTATCAAGAATAGATGCTTACATCATAATAGCCCTGTGCTAGCTCAGGAGTTCTTAATTGATGCCACTGACAATAAATATCACATCACAAAGAAATGATCAAAGCAAGAGAACAGCATTCTTTAGAACTGTTCAAATGCTTAAACCAGTATCAAAACACTGATCAAAAGGTGAAGTTATTTCTTAACATGACCCTTCCTTATAAGAAACAGGATAATTTCAGTTCAAAATATTTCATATTTTGAGGCAGTCATTAAAAATGCATACATGTTTAATACTTTTACATGAATTGCATATTAAATATAGTATAAGAAAATAATCAAAGATGTGATGTTCCAGTTTAATTCTAGCAAAGCATTACTCTATATTCACACAATTGTAAGCAACATAGACAAAAGCTCCTATTTAGTCAGAAATTAAACTGTGAAAATCTTTGATAATAGAGCAATTTCATGTGCCAAGAATATTGACAGCACTAAATTATATTTAGTAAGAGTTCCAAAACATATAAAATATATAATAAAATTGGTTCTACAAGAAGCATTCACATCTTAAATAAACATAAATATGTCCAAGAAATACTACAGTTAATATAAACTACAAATTACAAAAATAACAATCAAGAGGTCCTAAAAATCAATTTATTGAATTAAACTTTAAGCATGCTTACAAAGAAAAGAATCAAACCAGAAATCGTCGACCTACTTCTTTTCCCAGTAAACGTGGCTAACAAAGGAATTATACAAAGGCTGTAGGATCCCACGACCAGCAGTGTCAATAAAGTAGCATCATAGTGCCTCTCTGAACCAGCCGGTGGGGTGAGTGTAGAATTGATAAAGATTTTTGAAGAAATATCAGTTTCTGTACAACTGCGAAATCCTCCTGGTATAGTCATTTAAAAGGATCAAAGCCAGCTCAAGCAGGGAAAACTGCAGCCATGTTCAGTCTCATACCCCTCATGCTTGCTTAGTGCATTAGAATAGATGGGGGAAAATCTGTAAGCTCCAAGGCACTACACAAAACAGATTAAACCAGCTAGCAAATCAAACTAAGAAAGAGACCCACTGATTTGAATGCTTAATCTGCAACAGGGACACATCGCCACTAAACAGGCTCTGTGGGTGTAGGGCAAACCCCTTTGTTAACAGACAAAAAGAAATGGACAAAAGGATTTTACAGACCCTTAGGAGTGTCAGACACGCACTGAAACACTGGCCAGGCCAATATGGCTGTCGATGGAAAGTGCTGGGTTACAGCATGCCAGAGTGTATCTGCTTGAAGTGCCATCCACCGCTGTGGCTCTAAAAGCATATGGGTAGTTCTGTTTTGTGAGTTTGTTTTTAAAATTCACACTAGAACAGAGAAGGCTAGGAAGGAAACCACCTTAAAATAACACATGTGTGAATAACTTTTTCAAATTCACACAGAGCTGGCTGTTACACACAAATCCTTCTGGGGTTTGCTACAACTTCAAAATTCAAACAGTAAACAGAAATAGTCTTGTTTAATTTTAAGTAACATATTTCAGGATTCCCAAAGTGTCAGGATGCAGACACTTACCTGCATATGAAACCACCTACTGCTAAGTGACCTGTCAGAAAAGTTTTCATTAACTGTCATTAACTCAATGCCTTCTTCTCCAAAAACCAATTTGTCACGTATTTGCTGTGTGACTTTGGACCAGTAACAATGTCTCTGAGCCTCAATTATTCATACACAAAATCAAAGCAATATCAGAAGTTACTTAAGGAAAATAAAACAGAGAAACAATATAGTATAATGCACTATATGTCTTCAAACTCAGATATGTTCAATAACCATTGTTTTGCTTTGTCCCTCTTGTCTCACCAGAAAGAAGAAACTGATTTGTGCTTAAAGCAGAGAACAGTTCTCCACTCCTCCTCACATGCTTGCATCCTGCTTTTTCTGATATTCTAGTCATCCACATAAATAACATCTTTCCCCTCAACTACATTTTCGAGAAAGGGCCATTTCCTTTCCGCCCTGGGTGCCCCACTACAACTCACAGCTTGGGCACAGCAGGCACACAGAAACTGTTCCAAGTGATGTCAGGAATTATTCAGAGTTTTGTAAAGAAGGGAGTGAAAAAATAAGTATCAAATGCAAATACATCTTTTGAAAGAAAAGAATAGCTGAATCAATTCACCCACTTTATAACAAAAATATTTATACTAACTCAAAACTTGAAAAATATTCTTCTGAGTTTACAATTAGGCTAGAAGTTATGTTGGTCACATTGTACTGAATCTAGCATCCAAAGTAAAAGATTACAAAACATATATTTTACAAGATTCAGTCTTTTACAAAGTAAATATAACTACAGTGATCTTTTTGTCTGACTTCCAGTTAGGTTCTAAAAGCTCCTCAGTTATTATTCTTTTGTTAAACAAACTCCAAAATACCATCAATTCAATCCATGCATGTTAAACCCTTTATCAAGAATACAACAGATGCCTTCAACACATAATTGTTTCAGTGCTTCATAGCACATTCGTCAAAAGAGAACTTTTTAAAAATGTTTATCCTTCCAAACTTTCTGAGTAATTCCAAGAAGCGTAATACAGAAACAAAAATTCCACTAATTATTTGGAAAGCACTGGTTTTTCCTATAACTGTTGTTTCAAACCCCTAACAGAGTACTGTGGACCAACTTACAATTATTGCTGCAGGTACTCAGATCACTGCGGGTGCTGCCAATGGACGGGGTGCTTCCTGTTCTCCGTAGTGCTGAACTTTTCAGAGATGCACTGGACTTAGGAAGTGGTCTAGGCAAATTCATCCAAGATGGCTGTGCACTTTTGAAGGATGCAGCTTTTCCTTGGGATTTGAAAAAAAAGTGCTTTTACTGCTATTCATTTGAAAGCTGGCACTGTAGGCTTGTATACTCAACCTGCCTGAATACAGTCAAAATAAATATTCAGGATCAGAAATATTTGTTTATTTTCAAGAAATTAAAGGCAGAAGAGCAGAAACAACGAGGTAATTAGGCTATGAGAAGTATAACCCTGTCAGCTGATGTAATTAATTTACACAGCTTCTCTGTAGTGGAAGATACATCAGAAGAATCGTGTGAGAGAAAACCTTTAGGCAAAGCTTAAATCAAAGCAGAAAACAAATTGATAATGACCCTCTCGGTACTGTTACAAAAACAAATTTACAAAAATAAATAAATTATTCCATGTAAACAGTAGGCTATGATATAAAAACAAAATCAGTAAAAACATTTTAAGGTAACCAAAACAAAAATTCAATCTGATGAGAAAAATATTATTTGAAGAATGCTTAATACCTACCACCAGGTGGTGCTATATTATTAGCATTCTTTTTCATTCATCTCTAATCCCCAGTTTACTTGAGAAATTTAAACGGTTTTAGCTCAGATTTCTAGCTCTTCCTCATAACAAGTGTTTGCACTTACCCATGGAATCCGTACGCTTCTGATCTTCTGACATCTTTCAAAACACATTATCCTGCTTCTCACACCAACTACCTAAATATTAGCACTTCCCACATGTGAGAGTTGTTCACAACTTTCTTTAAACCCACTTTTGGAGAGTGTATTTTTAAAATTTTATGCTCTACTCAAACCCTCTATAGTTGAATCCCAAATTCTCACCTGCAACCCTAACCCTCCTGAATCCTGATGCCACTCATGTCTTAAATTCCTTGTTGGGTGTTTCAACTTGGACAGACAACTGTCTGCTTATTTATGGTGGTTACGGGTCCATTTCTCCTTTTTTTTTTTAAGCCTGTAAACACAGGAATTATTTCTCCCTGGTATAAAAACCAGTCCTAAAGCTGATTCCTATCAACTTCTATCCTTTTATGCTATGTCCTACTCCTCTCCACTCACACCCTTACTGGTTTTTCTCCAGTGAAGGCTACTCCAGTGGTAGCGGATCTAAGGCACACATGCTGCAATGCATTGCTTGTTATCACTGCAAGCTCTAGAAGTTTCGCCATCACTGGTTTGCTACTTCTGCTTGTGCCTCGTGACTGAAATGGACCCTTTTCCGTGCAGTCCCTTATTACCACCCCATGAATAAGAAGTCAGTTTAGATCCTTGCTACTCACTTGTGGCTCCACCCTAGATCTACTGATTCACAATCTGCATTTTAACAAGACCCTCCAGGTTAAACTATGCACTTGATCTCAGTAGCACCATTGAGAATCACAAGCCTTCTGGGAGCCTTCCCTGGCAGGACACCCTGCTCTGTGTACAATGGACCGTACTGTCCTTTATGCTCAGGCCTCAGACTTGCTCCTATGGGCATCTGCTTCCATGTGCCTCCCTCCTGCACGAAGTAGTCCGTAAGGCCACTGAGAGCAGGAGGAATAAGTGAGTCAACACTGCCCCTCAGACTTAGAAAAGTGTGCAGCACAAAGTGAGAATGTTTGCTGAAATGAATTTATCTTCTAATACCCATAGCAGAGGACAGATTTTGATAGCATGTTCTCTCATCGTCTACACTGAAGCATTAAACACCTAACCCCTTCTGATGAGCCTGTTTGACTTCCACCTACTAAGGAGATGAAGGAAAACTTTCTTTATTACATATCCAGAGTCTCATTTGATCTTTTATTTATATTTGTCACCAGCTTGACTTGCTTTTAGAGAAACTAAAAAGCACATTTTAAAAATATAAATTTATCAAACTACTGTCTCCTCAGCAGAAACATGACACGTTATCAGTAACAGTAAACAAAGTTGGGCAAGTAACAGATCAAAATTTCCAGGCCACGGTTACAATACAGTTAAGGAACAACACATTCTGAAATTTTACTTATTCTTCAGAATGGCATGTTTCAAAGCATTGCTTCTGAATACATCATAGGTTTGCAGACATGTCTTAGTGTGCCTCAGAATTACTGCAGAAGACCTGTACCATGGCTACTTCTAACACAAGGCCTGAGGCAGGTGCATACCCCCTTGCAAGCCCCGGACCTGCCCGGTACTATTTTACAAGGTTGCCCCCACCCAGCTCTCACCCTCCCAACTTAATAACAGCTTTACAACTTGCAACTCCACCGTGACTCTTTAAAACAAGCACCAAGGGTATTAAATAACATCTATTTCACCAAAAAGGTGGCTCTTATGGTACCCAAGAAAAATCCTAACAGTACATTACTATTACTATCCTAACTTAACAGATAAGAAAACTACTTAGATACCTAACTGGCTTACCAGGATCACAGATCTAACCAGTGACAGTGAAGCAAAGTGTCTAAGCACCACCCCTGGGCTTGTACTGGGCCACAGAATAGAAGCACACAATAGTTAACAGTCCCAAGCTTGGAGAGATAGCTCAATTTTGAGCTGTAGCTCTTAAGAAGAGAGCTCCTACAGTGGAGTGATTAAAAACAAACCATGAGCATGAAACAAAGGCATTTAACTCTAGCACCAACAATCCTAATGTTTAGGTTAACAATAAAGTTGACCGAATGTCATTATATAATTGGATCTCATACAAAGAAACAGTAAAACATACATATCATCAGCAATACAGAAAGAAAGACAAGGCAACACTGGGCTAAGAGATGGCATTAAACTAAGCACCAAATTCAACCATGAAATCAGTACAGGACTTCTCTTACAGTTTTGAAAAAGTGACTCTTGCCAGTTCACATGATATCATATACAGCAATGTATCTCACATGTGAAATGTTAAGATTTAAGACCTACTCACAGAGCTATTATTGACCGTAGTCATATATTTTAAGCTCATATATTTGGCCCAGACTAAATCTCTACATTTAACAATACAATACTGTAGACATAAATTCTGTGTAGAGTACCAGTAGATCTATGTTGGGGTCGAGGGAAAGAAAGGTAGAGGCAGAGGTCTTGAAAAGGGCTCTGGTATCTGGTATTTGGGAAATGAGTGGATCCAGTCAACTCACAAAGCAAAGTCAATGAGAAATTCTCACTGAACCTAAGAACTGGATTGAAATTAGCCTTGGGGTTCAACTCAAAAATCAAAATTACATAAATAAAAGTTCTATTTTTGTATGACTATCCCAAAACGAAAGCTTATTATATTTTTAAGTTTATACTTGTATTTTACTGTTAAAATTTTTCAGAAAAATATTCAACTTTACAGGACTATTATGGTACAGAGGGGCCACGTTAGAAAATGGCAGGGAAGGGGTGGGATGAGATATATTGATTCTTCCTACCCAGGAACAAGGGATGTCTTTTCATTTTCATATATCCTCTTCAATCTCTTTTCTTAGAGCGTTGTAGCTCTCAATGCAGAGGTCTTTTGTTTCCTTTGTTAGATTCCTAGATATTTCATTTTTTGGGATGCTATTGTGAAAGACATCGTTACCTAATTTGACTCTCAATGAGTCTATTATTTGTGTACAAGAAAGCTATTGATTTTTGAGTGTTTACTTTGTATCCAGCTACTTTACTGAATCTGTCAATTAAGTCTAGAAGTCATTTGGTGGAATTTTTTGATTCTTCTATGAAAGGTATCATATTGTCAGCAAATAATGACAGTTTGACTTCTTCCTTTCCTATCTTTATTGCTTTTACTTCTTTCTCTTGTCTAATTGCTGTGGCTAACATTTCCAAAACTATATCGAACAGGAGTGGTGATAGTGGGCATCCTTGTCTTGTTCCCAATTTTAGCATGAAGGTTTTCAGTTTTTGGCCATTTAATATGATGTTGGCTGTTGGTTTTTCATAGATAGCCTTTATCAAAATGAGATAAAGACCATTTATTCCAATTTTCTGGTTTTAATCATGAATAGGTATTGAATTTTATTGAATGCTTTTTCTGCATCTATTGAGATGATCTATGGTTTTTGTCCTCTAATCTGTTAATACAGTGTATTACATTTATTGATTTACAAATGTTAAACTATCCTTACAACCCTGGGATAAATCCAACTTGGTCAGGGTATATGATCTTGATGACCCTCTGTAATCTGTTTGCCAGTATCTTATTGAAGGTTTTTGCATCTATGTTCATTAGAGAGATTGGCCTGCAGTTTTCTTTTTTGGTTTGATCTTTCTCTGCTTTTGGAATCAAAGTAAAACATGCTTCCAGGAATGAAAGAAACTCAATAGTCTGAAAGTAAAAGGATAAAAAACAGTTCTCCATGTGACAGGAACCCAGAAAAAAGCAAGGGTAGTTATCTTATTTGCAGACAAAGTAAATTTCAAACCAAAACTAATTAAAAGAGACAAAGAAGGTCACGATATATCCTTGTAAAGGGAACAAACCAACAGAAAGAGATGACAAACAAAAATATATATACCCCTAATTATACAAAACAAATATTAAAGGACATAAAGCACCAAATAAGCACTAATACAATTGTAGTGGGGGAACTCAATACCCAATTGTCACAAATACAGATCATCTAGACAAAAAAATCAACAACAAAATACTAGAACTGAACCAAGCTTTTGAACAAATGAATAGATGTCTATAGTGTTCCACCTCACAAAATCAGTTTATATTCTTTTCAGCTGCACATGTGTCATTGTCCAAAACAGAACACATACTAGCTCATAGAACATGTTTAAGTAAACGCAAAGGAACTGAAGTTATCCCATATATATTATCAGGCCATAGTGCAATTAAACTAGAGGTCAATAGCAAAAGAAACTGTAAGAACTTCACAAACACATGGAAATCAAATAACACTCTCCAGAACAACCAATGAGTCACAGCAGAAATTAAAGAAGAAATTAGACAGTTTTTACAATTTAATGATAATGCCAGTACAACATACCAGAATCTATGAGATACAATGAAAGCAGTTTTCTGTGGGAAATTTGTGTAGTTGTTTAATGTACTGGAAGC